ATCTCGCCAAAATTTAACATTTGTACCCACAACTATTTGAGAGTACTTATTCTTTCTTACTCACCATGAGGCCTACAAATCTTTGCACAATTGCAAAACATTCTCATCTCCATTCCAAAGGATCTATATCTCGACCGGACTTCGCGCAAAATATCCTTGGATACATGAACTATGTCGATAAGTTCTTGCTTATAAGCATTCATTAAGCTTCCAACAAATTTGAAGCATATAGGACGTCCTTTTTAATCGATCTCACATTTATTCTTGAAACACCGAAAGTTTGAAAACTATTACCCTTGACTATAGGAACAAAAGCGGTTTATTCACATATATACTTTATTTCTTTAGAATCTTCTCTAAGTATACACTTGAGATAGTTCTAATACCCTTTTCCTTTTATCTCGGTAAGTTCCAATTCTCGAACGAATGATGCTTTACCAAGATCATTCTCATTGAAACTTGAGGACAAGAACTGTTTCTTCTCCAACAGTAGATTAACACCACTACTAGCGAGTAAGGTGCTACCCACATGCAGGATTAGGAAAATAAATTTCCCATGTTTAAACTTTGCATAAATACAATTGTCCTCTACATTCTCTTTAAAACCCAAACTTTCTTATTGTACTGTCAAACTTCAAGAACCACTGCCTTGAAGCTTGCTTTAATCCATAAATGGATTTCTTTAGGCAACATCCCTTTACGTTCTTTTCCTTCCACGACAAAACCTTTTGAGTTATGCCATGTAAACGTTTCCATACAAATCCTCGTTGAGGAATGTGTCTTTACATTCTTCTGATGTAACTGTAAATCGTAATGTGCCACTAATACCATTATGATTATAAAAGAATCCTTGCAAGCTTATTATAATATATTCCTTCTCTTTGTGTAAATCATTTCGCCACAAGTGGCGCTTTATAGCTTTTCATATTTCCTTTGGAGTCATCTTTGTCTTGTAGACCCATTATAGCCCTCTTGTTTTGGCTCCATTAGAAATTTCTTCTTAGTCACCGTAAATATCTCGATTTTCTTATTCTTTGAGACCTTCTAGGGCCTCGTGGCACTTCTTTCATATGGGGCTATTGTTACTCTTCATTGCCAAAAGGCAATTGTTCTATAGCCTCTTGTATCACAAGATTCTTGTTTACTTATTCATCCTCTTTAAGAGCTAACGTCTGGTGTTGTATATGTCATACAACATCAACATGTATTAAGCAATTTGTTGCTCTAAACACTGTAGTGGATATGTAATCCCACTTCTATTCAAGCTTTAGGTATCTACATACCATGCTCCCCAGATTACTCCATCTTCATAGAAAGATGGTGTATCTTCAAATTTCTTATTTTGGGGTTTAATCTGCTAAAAACTCATATGGCGTCATCCAAATAAATACTAGTGACTATGCTATCTTCCTATCGGAATCTGTAAAATGTCCAGAATTTAGCTATTTCTTTACTTTAGGGTATCATAATTATGACCGCCTTACTCCTCAACGATCACATTCATCTTTTATAGATCACTTTTACCTTCAATGCATAGTGTGCATTGCTTATCTGAAGTATGGGGAAGTATCTTTCTTAATCTTACATTTCTCCCCTCGAAATGTGGTATGAACTTTTCTACCACAATTTGAAACATTCGAACTCTTGTGAATGAGGAAACTTTGATTACTTACTTCATCCACATGATTACAAAGATGCAAACAAAATTGTATGGGAGTACATTTTCCTCATTACACTTCAAAACTCAACATAGTCTATTATTATCAATACTTACGCAAGTCATGCTTGCATATCATTCTTATCTTTTGATTCACATGCAACTTTCTTTTGTTCTTAAACTCATTGAGTACTTAATGACCATGACACAATCGAGTGTACGGTCAATACTAGGATGGCATAAAAGCTACCTCAAACTTCTCTCCATGTGCGAGATATACTTAGAGCACATGAGTCATCACATCCTTCTCCGCCATGCGGATAAGTACTATGCCAAACTCTCCGTCATGCGATTGGTTAACATATGTACTATGCCAACTTTACCCGTCATGCGGGTATTTTCTCAAACTTTTCCGCCATGTGGGTACTATCATAAACTTTTTCCCGCCATGCGAGATATTCCTTTGAACGGACATAATTGTCGGGACTAGCTCGTGTTCAATCATCAAATTCAGTAAATAAATCCGAATATTCTTTTAACACACATGTTTAATCCAATGTTAGTCAAATTAAACATGTATATGACTTTTACAACTCTCATAAGTGAAACTGAAAATAAATTCTTCTCCACAGAGAGTACATAAAAGACATTTCTCAATGAAGACTCCCATTGATCTATCTCTTTTCTTGGATCAATATCCTAGAATTCTTTTCTTTTGAAGCCATTCTTTAAAGAGAACACAGTCTCTTAACCAATGGCATTCTTTCATACATAGCTTGCCCTTGGGCATTTCATCATCTGAGTCACAAGTACCCAAATTCATTTCTCTTACTACCTTCAAGAATGAAAGCATGGAGGTCTTTTGTCCGAAAAATATTCAACAATAATGCTCTTTAAACTTTGAAAACTTTATGTTCTATTCTATATCACCGTTAAGCGTAAATAGAATAAAACATCATTCTTCTACATTAATTCCACATCACCGCTTGGCGTAAATGGAATTAACGATAGAAATTTAATAATCTTAAAAGCATAGAATCGCTCCTCAAAATTAAATTCTCCCGTTGGTTCGAATTTAATTAGAAGACAATCAACTTCATTGCAAATGAAATATGAAAATACATTTCTCTAGTTTAAGAGCATTCCTTGATCTTTATCTTTTCTCTGAAAAATTGGTCACTTTGATGCAAAATTCATCAGAGATTTAAACTTTAAACATAAAAATCATAGAATTATAATATTGTTATCATCAACGTTGGTCAGAAAATAACAATATCATAATTCAACTTTAACCTTAAACTCATAAATAAACTTATAATATTGTTATCATCAACGTTGGTGAGAAAATAACAATATTATAATTTATCTTAACTATCAACCGACTATTCCTCCAATTAAAATTTTCCAGCTGATTCTAATTTTAACTAGAGGATAAACTTTTCATCATTTATCAATAACTATAACTACTCTTCAAATTAGAAGACAATAAACCTTCAACTTTGCAAATGGAAACTTGACAAAATTTCTTTTCCTACTTTTCAGAAGCATTTTTACTTTACTCATCTGTTCTCTAAACAAATTATCACGTTGGATCAAATTTGAGTAGAGATAAAACATTTAAACTTAACTTTATTCATTCAAAATAGCTTCTGAAAAAAAAATGATAAACTGAAAACTCTCCTTGTTCATTTGGCCCGGAGGCCTGCTTGGCCCGAAGGCCTGATCGCTTGTCCGGCCAAAGACCCGCTGCCACAGAATACAGACTCAGGCCTGAAGCCGCAACTCGGCTGGGGCGAAAGTGGCATCCCGCTTTGGCACCGAGTGGCCGGTCATTCCACGCCGTCGGATCAAATCCGACGGCCGTCATTTCCGTTCGCTGATCAAAACCCGCCCATGGTCAACCTCCCTCTCGAACCCCTAGCCTCATTTGTTTCTCCCTTCTCTCTGCGTCTCTCTCTCGGCCGGCGCCACACTGACGACAATGCGAGCACGGAGGAGAAAGCGAAGACGGCGCCACCATGAACCCTCTTGCGCCCGTGAAAGCGCTCCCGTCGGGAGAGCGCCGCCGTCAACAGCTTTCCGTGTTGGCGCCTCATGCACCCATACCAGCGCGGATGCACCTCGGTGGCGAACACGGCGCGGTCCGGTCTTTCCGCACTGCACGACGGCGGAGATGGCGGCGATGAGGTAAGCCACCGCCTTGCTTTTCCCTTTCCCCGTTTACGCTTGTTTGGATCTTGCTTGCTCTTCTCGGTTTTGACCGATTGGGATGGGGATCGAGTTAGGGTTAGGGATTCACCCTTTTCTTCTTCTTCCCGAGAGTCTCAGAAGCGGGTTAGGGTTCGGATCTCATCGTTCTCTTGAATCCGAGCCCTCTGCTTCCATCTTCACCCGCTTAGGGTTAGGGTTAAGGAACCCTTTACATGCGCTTCGAGATCCGAAGGATCTAATCCATTCTTTTCCTTTGTTTGTTCTCTTGATTCTCTTCCAGCAAGCATCGACAAGCTTCTGGCCATGGTGAACCATCCCGAGTGAGGCGGTAGTGGCGGCGGTGGGGAAACCTTCCCGGACCATCCAATTTCTTTACGGTTAGGGTTCTTTAGGAGGATAATACGAATCAAATTCTAATCCCTTCCTTCTTTTTCTTTCTATCACCCGAATAGGGTTTAGGGTTCGATGAACCCTCTCAGTATTTCTTTCTTTCGATCCAAATCGGATCTAGCTCCGCTTCTGTTCTTTTCTTTGCCCCGATCTAGATCCACATACGGCCATACTAAAACTCGGCTCGATACCATTGTTAGATCCTTTGGGACCATCTAGGAGTGGATCCAAAGGGGTTTCATTGGGTTTCTCGTAGTAATGGTGTGAGAGAGAGACAGAGAGGGAGAGAAAAGCTAGGGTTAGGTCTTGACCATCCATTGAGTAGGGATCCGCCATCGTGTTCATCGGTGAAGTTCTGCGCTAAGCGGACGGTCGGTGAAGAGAGCGACGCAGATGAAGACCGTGGTGGCGCGATGCGCGATGGCGGCGGCGGTGCTTCCGTCCTTGGCTGCGCCCCTCTGTTAGATCGGAGTAGGGTTTCTAGGTGGGCGTCTGCTCAGCGAACCTCGTCTCGAGAGCCGTCGACCCCACCTCTATTTAATGCTAGCGATGACGGGGCCCGCCAGCCATAGATGGACTGGGCGCCTCCGATCAGGGCGCGAGGTCAAGGCCCAAGTGGCCGTTGGGCCACTGTGGTTGGGAGATCAAACCAACAGATTCCAGCAACGTCGACGACTACCTGGTCGGCTCCATCACGGCGCCTGCGGCGGACCCCAACGCCGGCGCGGTGTACTACAGGCTGATGTCGCGGTTCATGTCGAACCAGAGCCGGTACACGCTGGACCGGCTGCTGGGGAAGCTGTCGTGCCCGCTGCTGCTGCTGTGGGGGGACCTGGACCCGTGGGTCGGCCCGGCCAAGGCCGCGCGGATCCAGGAGTTCTACGCCGACACCGCCGTCATGCACCTGCAGGCCGGCCACTGCCCGCACGACGAGGCGCCGGAGCAGGCCAACCAGGCGCTGCTTGAGTGGCTCGCGGCTCTAGATGCCCGCGCCAAGCCGGCCGAGCCCAGCCTCCAGACCGTCTGATCGTTCAGGCGTCAGGGGCTGCTTAGCGTACATACACTAGTACACTAGTCAAAGAATACAATTTGGTGGCACATGTGCCAGTGTAGCATGTCTTGTAGCAAGTGATTCCCATGGAACGATTGAGAATTGGGTTCTCGAACGACTGACAAGTGATTGATCAACACATAAAACAATTTTTACTTGGGAATATAGTTTTTTTTTTAAAAAAGCCTTGGTTAAACGGTGTATCAATAATCAATACCCTGGCTAAGCATTCAATCACCAACAACACTCGCCCCTAAACTTCGCTCCAAGCCGTCCGATCAGCGAGAGGTGTTGAACCAACGGTTCATGATTGAGGGTATGCCATTATAAAAGTTTGCAATTGTCATTAAAAGGTTCGAGACTTCACGCCATTCCATCCACCTCCCCCACCTCCGTTGGGGTATGTGGGCTCGGCACGTGAAGATGTCCTCTCTTCCTGCGCCGAGCGCGGGGGGGCTCTCTCGCACGCCGCCGCCGCACACACGCGCGCAGCCCGCGCGGGCGGCTGCGACCAACTCGGTCTTCGTGGCGAGGTTGCCCCGAGCTACGCCAGACGGCGCGCTCGCGCCTCGGACGCCAGCCGCGCCTCTCGCGTCGCGACTCCGCCTCGCTCGATCGTCGTGCTCCAAATCTTCGACGAGCGTGCGGGCGCGCCGTTCGAGGACCGCGGTGCTGCTCATCATCGACATCGTCAAGATGTTCGACTCCGGCCACCTGCCCCCGCACGTAGACGCCGTCGAGTTCGCCATGGACTCTGTGGATGCACTCCGCCTCCACCACCAGTCTGCAGGGGGAGCTCGTGAGCGCCACTCGCGGTGGCCGGGGTGGAGAGGGCGCCGGCTGCGGCGGCGGATGGCGAGCTCGCCGATGCTGTTCATGAGGTCGGCGATGGGGCGGTGGGTGATGGGGTGCCGCAGTGGAGGAGACCGGGGCGCAGGGAGGCGGCGTCCGCGGCGCACGGGCGCTTGCCGCGCGCGTCGACGAGCGTCTTGGGTGCCGCCAAGGCTTCTGCATGTACGCGCGGGGGCCTGACGCTTTTCCATGGTTGATCAATTTTACCATGATGCTAGTCTATTTCTCCTCTTTTGACTTTGGTACTTGTGACTCTTTTCTCTTGATGAACAGTTTTTTTTTTTTTTCTTGTGTATATAAATATTAAAAAGAAAGATATCTTCTCTGGAGAAGACACCCCACGTTTTTAGTAAAAACACACACACACACACTTGCAAACCTGTCCTGGCACACATACAAATACGGCAAGCCAAGCAAAGAGCTAGATGCATGTGAAAGCCAAAGTGATTCGTGGTTGGAGACACTCTAATCAAGTGGAAACCTCTGATAAATTGTTTAACCACATCTTCAAACGGATCAGCTGATTTTACGCACTTTTGAACACAAGGTTAGAAACTGTGACTCGTTTATTTAGTTAGTAAGAACTAGAGAATGCAATCAGCAACTCAAGATGGAGATACAAGTTACAACTGCAGCGAGCAGTGCCGGAGCTAGGGTATGCCGAACCAAAATTTTTATATGCAAACCGGTAAATCTATTTAGCAATTTGGTAAAGTATCATTAAAATTGTCACACAATTGAGTACACAACTACTAAATAGCATAATAAGTCTTAAATTACCATACAAATAGTTCAAATAATACACGAATAGTTTGGAATATGCATGATAGAAACTTAAAGGCCAAATAGGATTACAACGCTATTTTTTTGCCTACACTAATAGTTCAACTAATTCATCCATAATTTCCACTGCATACTACAGTACAACTATGTAACTACATCAATTGAACTAATTTGAAGGGAAATTAAACAGCAGCCAGCTACATAAATTAGAACGGAGGGAAATTAGGATTATCGATTTGGGAAAAATTGCAAGGAGGAAGATGATGAAAGGTAACAAGCTGCTCAATGGCGGTGCCTTTGCTGTACGTGGCCCTTAGCAGTCGTCACTTTAACAGGAGGGTCCCCGGGCGCCTACACCAGGGACGGAGGAAACTCCAGCACAGCAACACAGGGGATAGGGCGCCTGGCGCATCCGGCCAGCCGCGGGGCGGCGCCGCAGTGACAGGGTGCCTGGCAAGTCGGGCTGCCATGGGCTGCGCTTGGCCACTCCTGGCTGCTGTGGTCGTGAACTCGCGATTCGCGCGGACCGCGGAGGCGGCGACGCTGAAAGTATTGCCGGCTGATCTACGGTGAGAGAGAAATGCTGTTCGTTTGTTGAAAAAACACGACTTATAAGTCAAGCGGATAGGATGTTAGGCTAGGCTTAGGGTATGCCTTGTCATATCGGACAGCCCGCTGGATCCGTCTACGACAACCAGACACCAGTCCAACGACATCAATATAGAAAAAAGCGCCGAGAATGCTGGCCGAGCACGCCATGCCAAAGTGATCACCGTGTTGGATTGGAGGTCAGTGGCATAAGGCCTTGTTTAGTTATTCCTCTAAAGTTTAGTCTCTATCACATCGTATATTTGGACACGTATATGAAGTATTAAATATAGACTAAAAAAATAACTAATTGTACAGATTACGACTACTTTGCGAGACGAATTTTTAAGCCTAATTAGTCCATGATTTGACAATGTGATGCTACCATAAATATGTGCTAATGACGGATTAATTAAGCTTAATAAATTCGTCTCGTGGATTACTGAGGACTTGTGTAATTTATTTTATTATTAATATCCGAACACTCTCATGTTATACCCTCATATGACACCCCTAAACTTTAGCCTCTGAATTTAAACACCACCTAAACAAGTAACGAGTAACTTTTACTTGTCTCTCAGACTTGAGGACATTTTGGACTTTTTTCTCATAGTTTGACACCGTTAGCAGCTAAAGTGAACAGAACGGCATGGAAAACAAATAAGTTATGAGCAGTGACACCTTTTTAATGGCTCGTAGACAGTTTATAATGGCGTACAGGTAAAACCCTGTTCATGATTGGTATTCATCATGAGATAACCACACCACTCGGTCAAAACTTCAAACGGCCGCAGCCTTCCGGAGTCCCCTTGCCAGCCGTTGCCAATCGCGCCGTGGGATCTCATCGAACGGAGCGGGCGGCGGCGGCGGCGATGTCAAGGGAGGCGGCGAGGACGAGGAGCCGGGTCCTGGTGGTCGGCGCCACCGGCCGCCTCGGTGGAAGCATCGCTCGGGCCAGCCTCGCCGCGGGCCACCCCACCTTCGCGCTCGTCCGGCCCCACCACTTCGCACGCCCCGACTCCCCCTTGCTCGAGCCGCTCGTAGCCGCCGGCGCCACTCTGCTCCAGGTAAATGCGCGGCACCCCTAATCTCCAGTTCCATTAGAGCGTGGTTCAATTAGCTAAAGGGCTTCGGTTCGTTATGGCCTAGGGGTCACTGGAAGATTACTCGAGCCTGCTCGAGTCGGTGCGTCAGGTGGACGTTGTCATCTGCGCGGTGCCCACGAAGCAGGTGCTCGAGCAGAAGCCCCTGATTCGGGCTATAAAGGAAGCTGGATGCGTGAAGGTGAGCTACTGAGCTGGCAAGCCACAATACATTTCCACTTAACTTGGTTAACTTACTTACTTTTTCTATGAGTCTACTGTCATGACATATCAGAAGGTTCAGCGTTGAAAGCAAATGATTTCGAAATGGGAACATTCACCCAAGTAGATGGCACAAGTTTTAATGAAAGCAAGAAATCAATTTCGGCTCTATGGTGCTCTGATTAAATCATGTAGACAAACTGGCAAGGAAAATAATCTGGAACATATGGGCTATAGTGAGATGGATAAGAAACTAAGATAAAAGTTTTTTGAATTTTTTGGGGGAAAAGTTGCCCCTCATATGTTTGCCTCATCAGTTCTGTGTTCTGAGTTTCTGACCTTATCCATGGCTAGCTCTGGGCATGTTACCTACAAAACTTAGACTCCCTAGGTGGTGTTACTTTATAGGTCTTTGTGGTCAATGGTCATATCGCTTGTTTTGTGTTACTCCCTCGTCTCTCCATTTCAAAATGTTGTCCATTTTAATTTTGTTCTAAGCCAAACTTCTCTAACTCTGAACAGTTTTATAGAAAAATATATTAACATCTACAGTACCAAATAATGCACTGTTAAGACATTTCATGGTGAATTTAGTGAAACTAATTGGATGTTGCAGATGTTGGTGCATTTTTCTATAAACTTGGTCAAAGCTAGAGAAATTTGTAGAACAAAACTAAAACAGCCTACTCCCTCTGTTTCTTTTTATAAGGTGTATTAAGATTTGAGAAAGTCTTTTAGGATATACTTTGACCATTAGTTTTTCTTATAATATATTATTGGTCACTACAAAACCAATGTCTTATTAAGGACAAATGAAATATGAATATATTGATGTATCTTTTGTGCACTAAAAATACATATGTTTTGAGTAATTCATGGTCCAAGTTTACAGTCTTTGCTATTTTGAATCTTACTACACCCTACATTTTGAAATGGAGGGAGCACGTTTTGAAAAGGAGGAAGTAGTTTCTGATGACATGTTTTAGGATGGCCATTTTGGATTTTCATAACCTTTTTCTGACTTTGTCCACCCGAAAATTTATGATAGCCGTTGTTGTGTTAGGAACATGAGGCGTTGCTTCTGACTTTGCAGTGATTTCATGCAGAGATTTATTCCAGCAGAATTTGGAGCAGATCCAACAAAGGTTCAAATTTGTGACATGGATTATGGCTTCTATGAGAAGAAAATTGAAATCCGCCATTCAATAGAGAGGGAAGGCATTCCTCATACCTACATATGCTGCAACTTCTTTATGCGCTATTTGCTTCCTTCACTGGTGCAACCTGGCCTAGATGCTCCTCCTAGAGATGAAATCAAAATATTCGGTGAAGGAAATACCAAAGGTCTGATAGTAATGTTTCTCTATTCTTTTAGTCTTATATCTGAATTTATCCGAAAGTATAAAAGATTATTCTACATGTATATTTCGTTACCTGAAGGGCGGGCCT